CTGGATTTTTCCCGACAGCTTGTTCTTAACCTTGATGGCAGCAACTTGTTCCATGCTGTAAATTGTTGTATTGCAACTCTTTAACGACAATCAGTTTATCTTAATCCTACTCTATCACCAGAAATTTTTCACTCGCACCATGTGCATCAGGAAATTCTCACAAATCACAATGTTTTTTGAACATTTTCTCATTCTTCTCACGTTCTCCTTTTTACAATCATATATCATTGAATCATTCAGGAGGACAATTGCTGATTGCTTGTCTGATTTGCGATCTTTTCATGCTTGCCTGAATTCCGGGGTAAAAATTTTTTTTGGAGAGTGCCTGAAGCAAGGGTTTCTCAACGAATGCAAACATTAGAATAAATATGTTTTGTAGATACCTTCTTTAGCTATCATGTTCGTCTATAGTATGCAAAATCTTAAATTACAATTTGTAGTCAAGTCCGCCTGCAGATAGGTCCTTTAAAAGCGTGTTTTTTGCAAAAATCGCCTGTTCTTGGAAAGATTTTTAATTCGAAAAGATCAAAAGTTCAAATCTCGAGATTTCGAACCAATCAAATTTTGCTGGTTTTTTGTCCAGTATTTGGTTTACAGTATCAAACATGGTGAGCCGTTTCAATAATGGCTTATTTCCAACAAATTATTACTACATACTAATCCCTCAGAATTCACTCAAATCTTTCATTTAGTTCCGTCTCAGTCTACACTTCCTGGAGATTAGTTACCGTCTCCTTTTTTCATAGTTGGAAAAACTCCAAAGATACTTACTTGCCATTACTTTTCACATGCATGTGTATATGCTCACGTCGAGCATACCCGTTGCACGTGGTCTCATATGATAAAGACAATAACGATCATTTCCGGCTGAGCTCTGACATAATCACACCAACGTAACAACTGCGCTCTCACTAACATCAAAATCGCAATTGCAAAATCGCAAAACAGATTCGCAGCCAATGGCGATGCGAAGTAATGTGGTAATTGTTAATCACAATCGAAATTGCCAAATTCTACAGTAACGCACTGTGAATCAAAATCGCAAAATCGTTTGCGCAATCGCGGTTAGAATTGTGGATTGCAAGCGAAATCGCGATACTGTACGCGAATCTTGTAGAATGTGAATCGAAATCGCACACTAATCGCAGACACTGGCGACGTATAGGAACGTATTAAGTCGGCTATCAAATAAAAATAAAAATGGCTCCTTTTGGTGGCTGTAGAAATGCTGCAGAGGATTTTCTGTCCAACTTTTAGCATCTATGGGAAGAACATCTCAGTCAGAATCAAAGCTTACACTCAGTTTTGAAATGTTTTTGCAGTGACAAATGGCGAGGGGAGCAAATGTATAAAAATTTCTCGTTTTCGATTACTAAAGAAAATAGCAGATCATAATTTCTTTTGCTATTCGCTAAGTAGGGAAAACTTGTGGGTATCTTTTTATCAAATCACTCACATATGTATCACCATAGCATGAAAACGAAATTTGATAAGTTGTTGAATTGTGTTTTTGAAGACTTGGCCATTTTGGGACAAAGCTGTCTTTTTATTTTTGGTGAAGTTTCTGCGTAGTTGGTATATGACAAAAGAAGCTCACATTAGACCTATCCACCCGCAAATCGTAGCTGAGTGACAGCAAATTGAATTTTTATGGAGATTTACTTGTCAAAAGGAGATTATTTTTTAGTCAACCTAATAGTAGCTTGTGAGCAGTGCCTAGATATTTGTTTGTGTTTATCTCTTCCTTCTGCTCCCATAGTCATGATGTTGTTATGCTTGTTGTCATGTTGTGCATCGTTATCCCAACTTCTTACGATCATTCTCAAGAAAAGCAGTGTTATTCGATGCGCATATGTAATTCTTTGAAAGTGCACAACTTTTCGAGCTGAGGTGTTTTCGAGAGTGCACGCGGAGACGGACGAGGGGAGAGCCGGCTTGTTGGCTTTGAACCGCCACCGATTTTTTCACAGCCTTAATGCGAATCTCGCAATCCAGAAGGTTGACTCTTTTCTGACATTTATCGATACGCAGAAACACACACTTGACGTGGTAAACATAGCCTGTTCGCTGATGTACCATTGCTATACTAACGATCGCTTTTCTGCAATTTTTTTACTCTCAGAATTTCATACCATAGCCTCAGCTCTTGCGTAATCGACTAACTCAGTCAGAAAACGATTTTTCTAATTTTTTTTCTGCCACTAATTGTCTTCCATTCTGACTAAGCGCTTCTCCATGAGGGCGTATCTGGCCCGGATCGGTTCACAGCTGTTTTCAATTACTCTCAAGTAACTAGGAGTAATTCGTTGTGGCTCTCACTCACTCTCTTCCGGTGGCACCTATCGAATTCGCTGCCCCCACACGTGAAACACCTGACTTGTTTTTAAGCGTATAGTTCAGGGTAATTGGCAGATTGCAAGCGTGTTTCTTTGTGCTGGCTTACGTATTCAGGCTAAAAGTTTGCCTTCTCACAACAAGCATGGCATAATTTTTCTTGTGAAATGAGAAATTTCGTTTCAAACTAATTTTATTTAACTTATATCACATGCACGCTCCCTTAGGTCTTGTTTATGCCATTTGCATTATTTACAATGGTAATATCCTTCAAATCATACTTAATTACAAATGACGCAACTCTTTTGCTCATGCTATATCTCACTCACGTCATTTCATACCCGAATACTTTACCGAATGAGTCAGAACCCCGGTCAAGCTCGCAAAATCAACTTTTCCCCCTACCCTTGGAATGTGTGAGGGTGTCAATAATGCCCCTTCTCTTCGAAATTTTTCTCTATGTCTTTAGCTCGTCTGTCACCCTACATGTTCAGAATTTTACTACTAAAAACATATTCGAAACAGTGTAAATGTGCAAAGACGAGAACTCTTGAGAAGAAAAAGTGTGTTTTATTGGTCTTCTGTTCCCGTTTCGGGCCATATGGTCCTCTCTCGAGACGACATTACACAAATCCTGTCATGTCGCCTCACATGCTTTTGCCGGCTCGGATTCTTTTCTTCTATGATTATCCATGCTTCAAGATTTTATTTCCGCTTTTGAGTTTTATTGTTACTCTGTTACTGCTTGCTTTGCAGTGGTTAATTTCTCTCTTTGCATCTATTTGCTGAACGAATTTTCTGTATCAAGGCCATATGAAAAATTACTCATAAGAACGGGAATGAATGCATGAATAGTTTCGATTTTCAAGTCTATGGTAATCAATTCCTCGGATCTGGTTTATTATATTTGATTCTCAGACTGCCTAGCGTTTATCTTTCCCATTGTGATCCACCACTCTCTTCCCCATAGTCAAATTATTAGGTTACTGTGCAAGTCTTACACCAAGAAATATAGAAATTTTTTTGGAATTGCTCAAAACTTCTTATTTAGATTCTGGACTTCATAACATACATAAATATTCGTGTTTTAGCAACCATTTAGAAGCTTTTCTTATTCAAAAAAGTAGATATAAATTTTGCAAAATCGTAGGTTGTCAGTGTTTGCAAAGACGACGCTTCATTAGTTGTTAGGTGCAAGTCATAGAACCATAAGCAAAATTCTAAATAGATCTTAGTCGTTTTAGCAATTTTAGCTATGAATAAAATTAGTACTAGAAAGCGCAAAATATTACTTTTCATATGTGCCAAACCGATATTTCATTGAATTCGAAGAAACCTACAAATTATGAGAAATCTTCGTCCATGACCTATCAACCTAGTAGTTTTACCCTGCAGTTTTCTTTTTGACACTCGTGTTAGCCATGCATATATCACCGGTTTTCGATCAGTTTTAAGAGAGTCCATATATCAAGTTGAAAAACCTTGTGTTGCGTCTCTGAGAAGAATTCTTGGACATAGTTGAGCAAGTGCATCACTTTGCAAGATCATGGATCCACACAATAGACTCTCAATCTTGCTTCTTAGCGGCCACTTCATTGCCCGTTATTTGTATCGCACTCAATCGCGATCGGATGAGCTAGCCTAGGCATCTCAACGTTTCACAAACAACAATTGCAGAAGAACGAAATGAATGTGTACAGTCCCGTCGGTGCCACCGTTAAAATCTGCTAACTAATTGCGATTTCACATCAGAAGCCGGTCGGTGTAACTGGTCTTAAAGTTAGATTTTCATGAAGAAAAGTACATATTCAGAAAGAGCTCATTGAAAGCTATCCAAAACCGTTTATACCTTCTGCGATACCCTCGCCTTTACGAAGTTAGGTGACCCCAAACTTGAGTCACTTATGACTGCCGCTCATTTAGGATGTGGCAATATCCAAGATCGTGGGCGCTAGCTTTGGGGTCACGCTAAAGTCGCAAGGACACGGGTTTTGCAAAGATATGTACATTTTTGGGTAGGGTAAAACGAGCTCTTTCAGAATATATGTCTTTCTTTTTCAAATTCTGACTAGGGGAATTACATTAAAGCTGCGCTTCAGATGCCATATCGTTTACTCCGCAAATTTTAACGGCGCCACCGACAGTACTGTTCTATTGCTCTAGCAGAATTAATGTCTTTCTATTGGATCGTTGATCTTGATGTCTTGTTCCACTTTTTCCAAGATTCTTGGTAACATCAACCATTTGACAATCCCCGCTTTTACATCTGTGATAAATCCATGTGAACCTTACTTGCAGTACCTAGCCATCATCTGTGATAGGGCTGCGCTCTCGAGCTACTTTTTAGCTTTTTGCCCTGGCTATGAATGCAGCAAAAGTTCATTCATATGGTCGCATCGGGGAATGATGTTACACAGTACTCACGTAGTTAGTTTATAGATGCCAGGGTGATCTTGATCCTTGAAACCAAATCGCATTGCTTGACGATCACAAAATCCACCCCCTCCTCCCCCTTCCACTTCATCCCGGATGTGACGCGCTTGTGTCACGAGCAAATCCAACATCAAAATGTGCCAGATACTTACACGAAGCTTCAAAACACTTGTTTGCAAGCGTGATGTGATTTTTTGTGACGTTGCAAGACTATAGGATACACTTGTTTTCAGGGTGGGCCACTGCCCGAAGTGAGCAGTTGAGGAAGAAGATCGAGCAGCGGCCGTCTCGAGAACGTCTCCTCAATCAGCACATTTTACTGTCTGGTGAGTGAGTGAACATACGCTGCTGAAAAAATTTTAAGAGTTTGGAAATAGAAAAACTCAGTTTGTGATTGGTCACTGTAAGTTAACGCGCTCTATTTGGACATTTGTGCCTGCTCTCTTAATCGGTGAATCTCTATCGCACAGCAATGCTTGAAAATCTCTGTATGAAGACTTTAAATTCAGGAACCTTCAGGCATGTGAGATTCTGAACTGCACTGCTATTAAATTGATTCGAAATCTGATATGACACCATGATGCCATGCATCAACTCTTTTGTTCTGAACTAATATCTCTGATCCTATTCAGACCCGTTGGATCTAAGAAGCAAAAGAAGTTAAAGCATGATGTGTTTAGGAATAAAGGGAAAAATTTTTTTGACGAGTTACGTGATCTCTTTAAATTCATATGTAAACGGAATTATATCTCAAGCGCAGTCAAAATGCAGATGTATCTCATTTTGTTTTTGATTTATCGTTCTCCATTGGCCTTGCATGTATATATCATTCTTAAAATAGCATTTATTAGGTGCATGCTGTCATATGAGTCAAATCGAAACACAGATTAGGGTAAGGATTGATGTTTGCTGCACATGGATAGTTTTTACTTGGAAAAAAAAAGAAATTTGTCAGACTTTACTATAATTATTGAATTGTAAGAATGCTAGGCACTTTTGCAAACTTTACTTCCTGAATTTTTTTTTAACTTACAAACCACTTTTTATCAACATTTTTGCCTTCTGCGCATGCTGGTGGCTCGAAATGAAGTGTTGCCCTAAACTGTTTTGGGAACAGCGTCATCTTTGCAACCTATTTTTAGTTTTCGATTTCCAGTTACGGAAAAATACAGCGAGTATACAAATAAATATTGTATGTGTGCAGTAAATACTCAACCGAATTGAGGGTGCGCAGACTTTTTTAGACGGAACTCTGATTTTTGGGCATTCAAAATTTTCTATATTTTTTTCCGCAAACTTCATGTAGATTGCTTTTGCGACTGTTTAAGTACTACTTTGTAGAGCTTGCTTTGCTCCATGGAGTGGTTATTTTACACAATTTTAGATCTTCTCTGCTTCTTCAAGATAAGAAGCATACATTGATTTTGCATCACTCTAAGCATATATTCGCGAAATTTTTTTTACTACTTTGCGCTAAGCTGGACGAGGAAAATATCTTTTTTGCAAGAATTTTCTGTGAGACTCTTCCTCTGTTTCGAATCCAAGTGATAGCTGAAATTATGTAAATTTCTCCATTCATTCTTCTTTTTTTAGATGGCCGTGTGGCGCCATTGATAGAACAACGGGCGCGTCTACTACGACAGGATCGTATTCGTCGAAATCTTAGTCGAAAACTAGAGGCGCGGCCCGGACCTTTAGAGTTGGTGACGAGAAAAATTCTACAAGCCGACGCTGATCTCGAACAAGCCATTGAAGGTAGGTATTTAGTTTTGGAAGGGTCTTTGTGAACATTTTCTGTAAAAATTCTCATGCATTCGTCCTCTGCTTATCCCTTTTTTGGGTGCAGCAAAATCTAGGTTCAGAATTTTTTTTCTCGGAACGAAAATCTCTACTCGTATTGTAGTTTCCTAGTTTATAAATACCCTTCATTCTTTCGAAGATAATTTCTTTATTTTTGCACTCAACAGCTTCTCGATTCATTGCCTATTTTCTATAAATGTCTACAGAACTATTAATAGCTTTGCGTTAAAATAAAAACACTTTGCACCATTGTTAGCTGGTTCGTTTGTTCTACAGATTAAGTTTACTGCAACCAGTTTTCGAAACCTACATTGACACATAGCTCATCATCTGTTTTATTTTCGTCTCAGTAAGCGATATATTTACATGATTTGATATTGCATATCTTTTTGCTTTTTGACGCAGTATGTAATTTTTCTTTCGCACATGACATTCCATGTGAAATTTGACACCTGTATCTTGAAATGAGGGAGAAGAAAAAGAGCATGTGAACCCAATGAAATTTCTTACGGAATTTAGAGGAATTAATGAGGTGATTTTCTTTCTAGAAAAGTAGGAGAATTCCATTCTTGTGCTGTTTCTTTTTTTTTCGAATCGTTCCAATTGATCTTATTATGTTATGGCCTAACTCTAAAAATCGACAGATAAACTGGAAATAAACCAAAAAATTACATCATTCAGTAACTAACAGTTGCATTTTGTACAAAATGTCCTATCGTTTGTTGTAGGCTTTGCACTGCATTACGTAGAGGCCTTCGGAGTGATGTTTTTGGATTTTTGCCAGAAAATGGTGCATGGCTCAATCCTAGACCAAACTTTTCTTAGCGTATCGGTTTTTTGATCGAAAAATATGAAGATAGGGAGCTGAGGTATTTTTGCAGACAATTTCTGTCATAATGATCTGAACAACTCGCAGTAACCCTTCTTCATTCCATCGAACCACCTTTGAGCCGTCTGGATTCTAAAACCTTAACTTGTCATTCGTTTTTCTCTTTATATATAGTTTTATTATGAGTCTGCTTGAGTCGAAGCGCTCTAGGTGGATCCGGCAGCGAGTCACGGTGTAAACTGAAGAATCCAAGTCAAGCGATGAAGATAAGTGAGCTGCGATCAACAAAGATACCCATGTAAAACAAAGCACGTTGGCTATTTCATTTTCGTTTCCGGACTTCGTACTCGGATTTTACATGTCATATCTATATATACTACTTGTCTTGGCCTCCGCATGCATTTTGAGAAAAGTATAATGTGAGTTTTTGCGCTTTACTCCAGCTATTCTATTGGCCAAACCCACCTATCTATGCTAGCAAAAAAAAACGCTTGACTTTTTCCATAACGTTCCAAAAGTTGCAGTTATACATGGATTTGAGCGGACTATGATTCAAAACATTTTTCTTTTTTTGTAATTGCCTCAGAAGCCCACATTGCAAAAATGCAAAATTATTTCGTGAATTTTCCAATAATCTTCATTTGTAAATACCCTTATGCTTCGATTGCTATAGGTTATCTCTTCAAGAACTGATTTCACTACGAAATCGCCGAAGATAAATTGTTGGAACGCTCCGTGCAAAATTATTTCCTCGTTCTATAAGTGAAACTCTTTACTTGAGCACATGGAGCACATACTCCCCCACGAAAATTCCGAAATATAAGAGTGCAGTACTTAACAAATATGCGGAAAGAACAAACCGGAATTCGAGATTGTCAACACAACACAATAGCGAAAGAGCAGCCGATTCCTTGTTCTTCACGCATTCATTTTTCTTTTTCATAGTCTTGCTTTAGCTCAAGTCATTTTTTTACTCATTTAGATTATTTTCAGAAGGCCGTGTTCTGTTCCAACCAACAAGCGATAACGTTAGAGAGGAGGAGAGCGAAATGCCAAGTCCTTTATCGACAGGTACGTGGGTAAATCTGACCTGATCAGCTTCAGTGACCGTGACCAAAATTTCTAAACCCACAAAATTACAATTAGTTACGAAAAGCGAAGTGTAATTAGTCTTGCAGTTGTCAGTTGTACAGTTTTTGCACAATTCGAGGGAGAACTTTGAAACGTTTGGCCACCGTGAGTCAAAGGTCCGGAGTACACAATTCTGAAAATGTTTCGATGCTGATATCGCACTAAGTTTTCGTATTTTTCCATCACTTAATTATTTAGACATGGAGATCGTTTCACAAGCAGCAATTCGAACTCAGAATAAGCCCGTAAATGTGCTCTCAAACAAAGGAATTATCCGAAAGGTTCGTCTAAGTTTTATGCTGACAAATCGACTCGCTTCCGCATATCGCAATTTCCTTGGCTTAACAAATATTCTAAATGAGTTCTAATTTCCAGAAATCGACTCCTTACAAGCAGTGCGATCCTTTGCCTCTTCGGGCAAAAACTAAAGCTCCGGATAGCAAAGAGGATGATGAAGTGACCGTTATTGGAGAGGTTCGGTCTCCTGCGGAACAGGTATAGGAAAAAAGTCACTTTATTCTAAACGGGATTTACATTAGTTTTTTTTTTCAGCCCCCAAGAAGCTCAGAGAACAATTATGAGCTATTGTTACAGCAGCAAAAGTTATTTCTTCAATGGCAGCATAACGATGAAACTCCACCCCAGACACAAGTGCTTTTGAGCTAAACTTTTATGACATAAAATTTTCCTAATGATTGTGTTGTAGGATAACCAAATGCAAATGTACGATGTTCATACAGCAAGTCCTGCCACCACATCCCCAAGCAACAATCAAGTAAGGCATAAAATTATTTTTGGTTGAATTTTTAACGCAGTGACCTTTGATTAGGTGACCGTTCGGCGATTAAGTGACTACAAAGTCCAGGAACTGAAGAATGAGTGCAAAAAAAGGCAGCTGCCAGTGTCAGGTAAAAAACCTTTTTCACCTAGCTTTCCATCATTTCTGTTGCGCGCTTGCTGTTGTTGGAATGATTTCAACTTCACAGAACGCATGATTCAGACCTCAAGGTTGTAAAAGTTCCGGTACCAGGAGACTTTTTTGTCGTCTTTCTTTTTGTTGCTGGACCTTTACTCATTCCAGCATAACGGATTGATTGACAAGGAAAGAAGTCTTGCAGCAAGAATGTAAAATTTGTTCTAAATATGTTGGAAACTATTCAAAATTATAACACATGGTTCTCACTACATGGCGAATGTTATATTTCATTATATTTACTGGAAATACTATCTAGATCATACCAAAAACTCAAATAAAAATTTTGATAATCATGACTACTCGTAGAACATCCGATCAGCACGAATTTCTTTAGGTAGAATGAGCAGGTCATAAGATTGGGGCTGAAGCTAAAATCAGACTGAAAAATTACTTCTTGAGTACTTTTATCAAGTAGTTTGCATCGCTGCAGTATGTCTACAAGGATTTTTTCAGCCAGTGTTAGAAGCAGGATTTTAAGTCTCGAAATGTGTTGAATCAAGCGATTTTGATTTAGAAAAGATTACGAATCTTCGGGAATTTTAGTGCAGTACTCAGGTAGCAGCCTAATTGTGGCAAGACTTTCGTTCTGTAGGAATAAAAAGAATGAATTTATGTTTTCTGTCTCGTCCCTTCCCTCAGACGAGTTTTTGCTTCTAGACCCTTTCCGGAACTTTTCAGTAAGGAAAGAGGGTCTAGATTGATTTGGATAAAAGATTTTTGATAGAAAAAACCTTCAAAAACTCATTTTGCATATTGTTAGTCTTCTTTTGTGGGGGCGATCTTCTGTGCGTGGTGAAGAACGAATGAAGTTTGGGTCAGCTAGCGCCACATTGGGGATCTTTGAAGGCAGGGGACCTTCAAGTTGTTGTGTCAAGAAATTTGCAGGACACCATTTGCTCTAATTTTCGGGTTGAAAAGCTACGATAGCTCACTTTGTGTATGCTCGCTGCTGCCTCCATAGCACTTGTGTCTATGATGAGCGCGAGCGCTCGCAAGTGACCGCGTAAGTGTTTCCGGACCACCGACAATCGCTTGCCACCGTTTGTACGAGTGAATCTTATGTGTGTCACTTGGCTGGAACCTCATTGAAAGCCTATCCTTGAACATTCTGGACGATAGACCCCCTCATTGAAGTCCCTACATCTCTTACCTAAGAATTCTTCTAGGGGCCAAACCGCAACTTCTGGAGCGATTGCGTCCGTTCGAGAAGGCGATTCTGGGTGTATCACCGCCTCCAACACCGGAACCAGTCCAGTTCACGGGTACGAACACCTCTGGAGTTGTCAACACTAACGTGACGACGACCACAACAAATTCTGTGCAGGAAGTTCAATCTTCAGGCATACAGGATTTACAGGAACCTGTGATGCAGACTACACAGACCGGTAAAAAATCTTTGAATTGAGTAAAATAAGTGATTAGTCCGAGTTTGTAGATTTTTCAGTGTCATGTCATACACAACCGGCAGCAATGCAAATACAACAACAACCACAAGAGCAACTTAGGTAGGATTTTTACTGTTTGGGTAAGAAAATGCTTAGATCTACAAAAAAGCAGTAGCTTTTTGGTTTGTGCAAATTGGATATGCGGTAGTAAATATTGCATTTCGTTCAGATTGCAGTCGCTTATCTCAATTGCGCGTTCGTGATCTTCTTTTTGGTCCCTATTTTTGCCAACGTGTTTTTGCACATGTAATCGACTAAAAATATTATTAGCATGTATTGCTAAAGAAAGGTTTCCGTAATCTTTCGAAAGGCTTTTCCCAATTTCAAAGTAGTAGAGGGTCGCAGCTTTTGCCATGTACACATGCGCCACACATATCCGGTTTTTGAACCTTTTGGAATTTCCAGGAATTGGTTCTGGCAATTTCCAGTTTATTTTATTGAAAAGCTTAAACTTCCGAACTTCTTTCGAGTTAACACTGATGCTTCAGAATATCCACAAAAAACGGAGATCAAAAAGAAGGTGTGAGAATGTTCAAAGGGTGTAGAAAACTTGGATGTTGGGCGTCTCATAAATAGCCTCTAAATTCGATGTAACTCATGTCTGTGAAGGAAAAATTATGTCATTGGATACTTTGTCCCTTTTTTCATATGGCCAATTTGTGATTTCCAGAGGAAGGGAAAATAGCTAATAATTTGTTATTTCCAAATAAGCATAGCTATCATGTTTACCTCATCGGTTAGTGTACCCTTGTAGGAAATACATGGACAATCAAAAACTGGTAGATGATTCACTTTACCGGGTCTGGTAGCTTACAAATTTAGCTCTCGTGGCTGTAACACCCATACGCGTTTTTTTAACAATTTGTCTTTTATAGAGCTACTACAACGGGCCTTCATGACTATCTTGGTCGACCGGTGGTCTTACAGTTATCGCCACAACTGGTACAGGTGAATTTACACTTATATCACACTGCATTGCTCGATTATGTTTGTGGCGGAATACATACCAAAAGAAAAGATATTCTGAAGTATTCTTGGTCTAGCGATCTTTGGAATCCGCAGCAAACGAAGAAAAAACACGAATGATACTGGAATATTTTGAACGATAAGCTTCTCATGATGGTTTTCCCATGGCCGTAAATCAACTTTATTCTTCTACTTTACACAATGAACTGATTAATGAACAGGTTCAGTTGGACCGTACGTCAAAGCTGAAGTGCTCGATTACTATTTCGCTGCATACCATCATTCAAACACTTCACTGGAGCATTTTCTTGGATTTGTTTGCTCAAACACTCGCAACTTATCTAGTTTTCTCGTGCGTACCTTCTCCCGCGAGCGTGTGCCTCTCGAAATTGCGCAGCTTAAAAGAAGAATCAAGCTTTCATTAGTGACTGAAGGTATTTCCGCTTGGTCGAGCGATCTTTGGAACCCGTAACAAACGAGGAAAAAATATGCTTCTTCCTTGAGAACAACTGTTGCCAATTGCTGTTTCGTAGCTTTTTGAAGGTGGCGCAAGGGAAGACTTGATTTAAAGCCCAAATCTGAAATTATCATGGTAATTATAATTATACATGAAAAGTGCGAACTCTATTTTACGCAGAATTGCATATGTATTTGGGTAAATTTCGCTGACAATACGTTTTTAATTACTTTATGGCTGCTATGAAACGGTAACCAGGAAAAAGTAGAGTTGCCTGATCTGGTGGCACATTGAAAGCTCGCAGTCCACTTACCAATGCATCTTAGTAACTGTAAAAGATACCAAAACCACCTATCAATGTCAACTTCACCCATTCATTGTTTCATTCATCTGTGAACAAGAAAACCACTTTTGATTGTCTGATAGCCCCACGAGATAAGCAATCTCCAATGCTAAGCTGAGTATAAATGTTTAATTTCGTTTCCACCAATGATGCAATGCATATGGCTCAGCGCAACAATGCGTGCTTTAGGATATGAACAGAAACTTTTTTGAATACTGCCTCAGGCTAAGTTCTAGGTCCTTAATAGGAGAACAGAGTAAGAGTTTGGCTTGTATTACCGTCCCTGCAGTAACCAAAAAAGTTTGGCTCGTTCAAAGCTGGGAATCAATTACCGTAATCCTGAATTTGACAATAGCGGCGTCGCTCGACTTTACGGCACTCTTTTCTTCCTATGGAGTAAAACATTGTTTTATTTTAATCTCTTGCAACGAAAGTTCCTGCAGATTAATTAGAATCCGCGCGATGATTTTCCGTACGTTAGCCTGAACGGATAGCTTTATTTTACAGATTTTGGGAGAAGAAAATTCATGCGGTATCTAGCAGTGAGTGGTTGTACCAGAAAGAATTGTTGACAGATTCTGGTCGATGAAAAGTAACAGTCAAATTTTGCAATTTTTCAGAAATCTTCCAAATAGTATTCTTCTTGTCTAGAAATCTTGAACGTAACAGAACTAGAAATGTGGAGGAAACGAAAGGTTAGGCAGGTCAAAAATTGGGTTTTGCAAAAGCTCGTCACACTTCATGTGGGCACCCTGTATGGCTATGAAGTTAGATGTTTTTGTTGAGTCTAGGTAGTATATGCCATTCTATTATCCGAAATCATTCCTTTGCAAGTAGGCTCTGGAAGTTAGCTGGCCAGCTGGCCTAACGTCTTGTTTCCGTCATTCATATAGCATATGCTCTTGAATGAGCTGTGCACATATGCTTGGCATTCGAAAGGGAGAGAGAGAGTGAACAGAGGAGCTTAGATGAGGTGTGAATTGATCTGATCGAAAATCACTGCACACTTATCTTCACATCATCGCTGCTCACTTTCGAGCGCGGCGCTCGGCGCGCATGTCGAGCTACAGCTCAACGCTGATGTAAACTCGTCCAGCGCGGCCACGACAGCCCCGCTTGAACTGCGCTACACATATTTTATCGAAAACGCAATTGTGGGATTCTTAGCCGTGAACAGATGCGCAGGAAGTTCGACAACAAATGCAGAATGTTGTGCTATGTAGTATTTAAACTATGTGGTTTTTCAGCTCACTGACGCAAAAGGGACACCTGTTGGCGTGGCTTCTGTTCAGTACATTCCTGGATCTGCACATCCGGTTGTGCTCTCCTAGTAAGTTTTTCTTTCTTTAGGCGGGTATCACATTTCAACAGAGGTGTTTTGAACATCTGCTGGATATTCAACAGCCTGTAAAAAATTTGTATCAGTAACATTTTTGGGAGGGGAAGTGAATGACAGAAAATATTGACGCTGGTGCCTACAACTGCATTGACGGAGGCAATAGTTTACTTGCAGTACAGTGTACTTGCAGAGAATATATGAATTCATTATAAAATGGACACTATTCCTACTAATTGTTTTGTTCCTTACCTATCTGTAACATAGAGTTTGCTGGGTTTTAGTTTAGGTGAATAAACCTTTCAAAAAATTTATTATGATAATTTTGACTAATGCCAGAAAATTTACCTCGGATCTTAATGTTCCAGAAGGTTTTTTATTCTCTCCCAATTTTTGTTTAGCAAAATTTATCACCAACTAACAAAGGACATAATCAAAGTTTAATAAGGTAGATTTCAGCAGATTGGAAGTCTAGTGTTCTGATTAAGGCTAAGAAAAAATCGATCGCCTTTGCAGCCTTTTAGCTTTCCTACCTACTCTATATCAATTATTTATATCAAGTTTCATAGCGAAAATATCTGTGAGGTTTATGAGTTTGAAAGCTGCTGTTCAAGAGCGATTCTATTCTTCATCCATAGTAGTTTAGTAGGGGGCAACGAAATCCGTCACAACCGCAACAAACCATTAGAGTAGTCAAAGCCCAGAAAGGAAAGAAGATAAATGGAATAAAATGGAGAAACAACATTTTGAAAAAGTGTGTATTTTGAAAACCACGTCCAATATCTATGGTTGTAAGAAAAAGAGAAAAAACAAAGCATTAGCTTAGCGAGTGTTGTTGAGATTTGCGGAGGTAGGAGATTCGAAGAAGTTGGCACGTCAAAGTCGGACGCACGAATTCGCCCATATCGCTGGCCTAAACGCACGCGAGCGTGTCTGCAACGTGGCTGCCGAATACGGGCGTTATGATGACTCATGCGCGCGAATGCCAATGTCAGCCCTCAAAGACCGGAATTTTGCTTGGAAAATTAGTTCTTTATTTCAGTCATCAAAGAGGCCCTCAACTAACGACGGCTCAACCAGTGGCCACAACCCAACCGGGATCAACGTCACCAGCAGCACAGCAACGGATCGCTCATGTCATCCCCATAGCGCAGGGTGCGGTAGCCACAGCGCAGCCCCAGCAAACGGTCTTCACCACCAGCGTGCCACCACTTACGGGTCAACCACGGGTTGTGCAAGCTACTCAGGTTGTTCAGAAACAAAACGACAACACATTCCGGTTTGCTCAAATGGGATCTGGCGGACAGGTGAGCACAAAAAATCTTTGTATAATAAATACTAATAGTCTACTGCCAGGCGAAGGCGGTTGCACACATACACACATACACACATACACACATACACACATACACACATACAAGTACGAAGCGGCTTTTGGAAACCTTTACGCAATTTTTTCTTTATGCATTTTCGAAAAATAAGAGAAAAGGCTACTAAAGCTTCTGTAGGTATGTACCCCCGTGCAAACAAAATTCAGGAATAAGGACATAGTATTCTAACATTTTATGCCTTATTTTTAACTCGACTATAATGTGATGTATTATATCCAAAGGCACCTTATAGAAACATATCTCGAATCTGGCATCCCGTGGCTGTTTTGCCTGAATTCGCACTTCATCTACTGACATAAAGGTCTTTCTCAAACTTTTATTACTGTATATCCTTAGTGTCAACATCGTTAGAATTCTACCGAAAAAGTGTTAAGGGGCTGAATATTGTGATGCCTCAGCTCAAAGTCATAATAGAAATACTGTGCTGGTAATTTGGAACTGGCACCGATAGACGATCTGCGCAAATTGCGCTAGCATGCAGTCTATATTCGAAATTACTATGTTTAGAAACCTTGGCAGATCAAGTTGTACTTGATTCATAATGCTGAAAGTCCCACCGCGCTCTTAACAACGACAGCACTATTTTATCTTCAAAATCTCAAAGTTTGGAACCAGCGAGAATCACTAGCGAAAAAGTTATCTGTCATGCAGTGAAAGTACTTCTTGGGACATCTCCATTACTAATTAAAGCAGTCAATTTCATTGGATTTATTTCTGATAGTATGTTTATTTTTCAGTTTACTGTAGCTCCGCCCACAGAGAGAAGTCAAAGCAAAGCAACACCCGTGGTCATGAAAGCAGCAGGTGGGATGTCATAAGAGCTTAGGACTCCTTCATTCGGCAGTATTTTTCTATCAGAGTTTAGCAAGCAGTTGTTTAGGAGCACCCACTATAATCGCCTCTTCAAAGCATAGCATAACGAGTATCATCGGGCTAAGTTAGTTTTTTTCCCCTCTGGGAAGTAGTCTGGAAGAAAAATTGATTAAATAGCCTTCATTACTCAGGTCAAACACCTGCACAAATGGCGACGATGACTACGACTGCGTCATCACAGCAGCCGTTGATTGTCGCATTTCAGCCCACAACTGCAACCTATCAAACTTCTCCTCCTCAAACTACCACTCAGCAGGTGAGTCAGATCCTCTTAACCTCGATTTCGATTCGACGTAGTCGTATTGCTCTATAAAACATTGGCGCGTAAGTACCATAGTATTAGAGGCAGTGTCTCGGCAGAATCTCGTTTTCCAGTTTTTCACCTTCTCGAAGCCTTCTCGCCATGAGAAATCCATATCTGGGCTTTTCAGCGTATGAAAAGGCGAAAATGAAGTTTTTCCGAAGCTTTTTAGGTTTTCGCATTCAGGGAAGATACGCCGGAAATTTCCGCCCCCCGCCTCCTTCGTTCCAGGCCCCGCCCACTCGCACGCATTTTCCACTGAATGCGGACCAGGAAAGTTTCGGAAAAAACTCGTTTTCGCTATATTTATGCGCTGAAAAGCCCAGGTATGGGCTCATTATGGTGATAAGGCTCCGAGAAGGTAAAAATCTGAAAAACGAAATTCTGCCAAGACAGTGCCTTTGATTTTACTAACAGTGGGGCTCAAAAGCTGAGCGATAGTGTTCAAGTTGTTGTCCTGTCTGGCAACATACGTTCAGCAGTGTTTATTGCGCGTGGTTGGAAACTTTTTAGAACATTCTCTCTTATTCGTCACATCAATTTTTGAAGTTATTCGAAGTAAATAACTTTACTTGATTCGGTTACCCGAATTGGTAATTCGTACTACCGCCTTAATCCAGATAGGTCATTCTGGAATCCTCTCACTTCCTTTCAAACTTCATTTTCAGAATGCACAGCAAACAACAGTCATTCAAGGTGGATACACTAGTGAGAGTTTGAACCCATGGTGAGTGTTAATAGATTGAACAAAGCTTAGGATATATTCTGAAGACGAGCTTTTCAGCCTCCAAGATAGCCCGCGTACAGCAGATTTGGCTGGGGATTCACCACACATGCCAAATAGTGGACAGTCTGAGACTATTTCCGAAACAGGCGATGGGACCGTTGACAATCCGATAACGTTCGATGATCCTTCGTCTATGTCAGCACAATATCGTGTGCTCAGTTTATTGGCATTTAAAGAGCTTTTCTTTTTCAGTTTGACTCCGGCTGCGTTGTCAATGCATGAAGAGATGTTACGGGCGCAGCAGAAGAAGATCGAGGGCTTGTTGGAAGAATTGGCAAAAAGCCAGGCACATCTGAAGCAAGAGCAGCAACTCATTCTTACGGCCAAAAAAGCTCAAGTTGGTCCAATACATTCCTATCAAGAGCCATTTTCGCTGAGTTATACTTTGCTATTATTTAGCAACGTATTCGTGAACAACAACGGGAAAATGCTACTAATCGTGAACGAGAGCAATGGTTACGGGAACTAGATGTCGGACATATCAACAAGCAACACATCCAGCATTTCTTGCAGCATAAAAAACAACAAGCTGCTCTGCAGGTAAACAATAAACAATTTGCACCCGTCGCGCTACGTTTGACTTATGTTCCCGCAAACCACTGAGCCGAGTTGTTTGTCAACAAGAGGGAAAAGAATGTGATTGATCCTTCGTTCAGAGACATTCCATGGAACATAATCGATTAACTACCACTGAAGCAAGGTTGCAGGAAGAATTGCATGTTGAACAAGCAGTTCAGGATATTGTACGATTAATCAAACAGGTGCAGTATCATGAGAAACTGTAACTTAGTGCTTTGTAAAAAGATGTATTGCAGGATCCAAGGACAGCCTTGCTCATAGTACAACTTCTTCGAAGGTACCAGTTGGAAAGAAATGTGAGTTATAGTCCATAGCTGAATTTCGTACAAACTCCAAAGGCGCTAACAGGGTTTTTGCACTTTTGATGCACATAAGACGCAGTGCAGCAGTCGTGGTAGCCGCCCACGAGCCGCTTTGCGTCCGTTTAGCTTATTCAGACAACCGCCTTGGTCCAATAATTGATTCTTCGTATCCTTCTAAAAATTTGTGCTAGTTCATTTATAGCAAAATTTTGGCGTAAATATCAGGAATATAGCACATCATGAGCTATGAATCGTAATTTTTTACTATTTCAGGCTGAGCAACAGCAAGCTAGTTCTCCTGACACTGAGAAAGAATCTCAAACAAACTCGCCTGCTCCTACTGCGCAGGAATCCGTTGAAACCACTTACGAGATCCCAGCGCAAAACTTTGAGCAACAAAACCAGAAGGCGAATGTTGTCCAAGAAGACCAACAAGTAATTTTTGAAATCCATCACTAATAAAAGAAAATTGAGGGGTGTTTTTCAGCTCCAATCTGTCATTATCTGCGATGCTTCTGGAATGCAGTTGAATCATGATCAGCCTGTTGTCTACCATCAAAATGGGAGAGCTCAAAACTTGTGAGAGGATTAGCATTGTTTTCGAAATTGGTGAAAGACAAGCAAGTTTTTTTTTGCAGAAGGATAGTTCAAGAGGGCAAGTCGCAAACTGTCGATATGGAAGAAATTTTCAAAAGTGTTCTTGAAGACGCATCTCGAGCTATGGGTAACAGTGGTGCGGTCGTTCAGGTAAGGTTGACCAGATAGAAGAAGAAATAAAAAAAATTCTGTCATTCGAATATCTTGAATTAAGAGTGTCGACTGCACAATGACCAATAGTGCCCAACAATCTCAACAAGCTATGGTGGTCTGCCACCAGCAATGGCAGCAACCTGTTCGTTTTCTTTTCTTTTTCTTTTTTATTTGGAATTCTTGAATCAACCCAGCGATGGTTTTAGATGCAACTTTCCGAGATGGAAGTTGAGGGAACGACTTCTGAAAATTGTGCTCAACAGCCTCAATCTCAGATCGTCACCCATGCTACTTTGCAAACTGGCTTGAATACGGCGCAAGCAAATCAGATGATGATGAGTAATGAGCAGGCATATGAGCAGGTAGTCTCATTTTTTACTACCTGGCAAACCCGGCTCTGCCCGGCCTTGTCAAAAATATATTCGTAATATCAGCACACTCAATTTACCCCCTTGTGCCAACTTTTAACTCTTTGCTCAAACTTTGAAAAAAAATCGATAAAATCGATGTGTCGATAACAATAGATAGCCTACGACACTTCCCTTCCCCTCCCCGAGTGACATACAGACACACCAGACATTCAAAATGCTAACTTTATTTTTTTTTGACCTATGAAATTAGGCAAGACTGGAAGGGCTGCCTGTAACCTGTCTTTTGGGCGTGTATGAGCTAAAATATTGACCCTTTGGCATATGGTTAAGATCTGGAAGTTAAATTTGTTGACAATCCTTTTTTAGTTTCTGTACTTTTAGTTTAATGCCTTAGGATTCAATATAATGTCTTTAAAAAAGACTGGTATCTAAAATATTATGTGCTTGATATAAGTTTTTTCCAGCATCCACCACATGGTTACTCCCAAGACATCGATGACTTGATGGCTGTTCTCAGAGATGATCAAGGTAGGAGACCTACTAATTTTTGTCCCTTCGGCGGATCTTCGACTTTCGGATTGCTTCTCCTGACCATAATGACTAATTATCGTCATTTTTTCAGATTGTTTTGCAGATGGTAGCAAGCTAGGCTGCTTTCAAATGGACCTTGGCGTGGGTTACGGTAGCGAAGAGCTTGCAGATCTCCTCGGCGATGATTGGTTGGATTGCGCTGACCGTAGCATAGCCAACAATGGACAGTATACTCCGTACAGCAATGAACCACACGATGTAACTCAAGTTTGAACACACTTTGAATGAAAATCAACAGCAAATTTTACTATTATGTTTATAGAGCATCGGTGGACGCAGTACGGACCCAATGTGCATGCCGACGCATGTGGAGGAAAGTGGCGATCAGGCAAGTTGTAATGGGCAAGCTTATTTAATTGTTTCTATAGTGTTTCCATATTTAGAACATGGACTGGTTGGATGTGATGCTTCAAAACGCCCCTATTGAGCAGCGACCATACGGAAGCAGCTAAGATATAGACCTCCACTAATTCAACGAACATGAGAACAAAGTCGGCAATTCAAGTTGCCGAAAAATGTCCAGATCCCTCACGCTCAAACTACAGCCACAAATTTATGGTGCTCCAGGACTGATGAAAAAGTCCTTGGCTCTTTGATGTTCAAGCATAATCCCCAGAGTAACGATGGCATTAGAAATGCATCTGCTTTGTATGTAATCAAGCATTCATTATGCTTTATCGAATTTATACATGTAATAGGAAAGGTATCCTCTTATACGAGGTTCCAATCGGTGCCTAAGCTAGCTTTAACACACGTGTAATTATTATGTTACGATCTTTTTTCAATCTTGTTACTAGTGGTAAGCTTCTTTCGTTTTCTCATCACCTTCCCAAAGTCTCAATAGCCTTTCTCTCTCCCCCCCCCCCCTCCGCCCTCTCCCTTCCTCTTTCCACTCAAATCGTTCCTTGGTTTCATCAATTTCCACACATCTACCTGCTATTCTGTTAATGTCGACGTTCACAGCATAGGCTCATCGAGAGCATTCCACAAGCAAAAACGCGTTACCGTGCCCCTATTCAGCGCCTACGGCTGTGACTTGACTATACTCAATACCATGACAATTTTGCTCGTTATGTTACCCCCCTGTTTTCTTTTATTGAAATGCTGTTTGTTCTTGCATCATCCGTACTGCCATTAGTGTACTTAGCTTCTTATTGTCGTGTGATCTGTTTTAGTTACCCAAAGCTAAGAAAAATCGGTTGTAGAACATTCCGAACCGTATTCCGCATTTTTATCCATAATGATGGTAATTGATATTTACATATTGATTTTTACAAGTAGACGTTCCTTGTGTCCTTTTTTACGACATCGACGTCTTCGTGGTGTCTCTCGCTCACGGATTCCATCATTTGGCCTAGCTAATTCGGGACAACTTCCGCTCAGAATTCCATTCATGCCACATGCATACTATCCCAACGTCCCATTCCGTGTCATTATAGAACAGTGTATTGATTGTGCGATTCTTGATCCTCTCTACAAACTTCTACTATGTCTTGAACAAGAACTTGTAACGCATATTACTGGTTTCACAAATGATGCCTCATCTCTCTTGTCCGGTGTTTAATGAATCGTACAATCCTATATTCTCTAGATTTTAGCAGATCCCAGTTTTCTTTATTTATCGCATTGTTCTGCTGACTAATAAATTTGCTTCTCCTTTTTCTATCGCTGTATTCATGTGCAAAGACATACATAGTCGTAGGACACGGTAGGTGAATGTTTGTGCATGACGACTGATGTCTCAAAAAGTCAGCTGAGAGAAACTCATGTAGAAGCTTATTGAATAATTGGACTTGGACTTTTTAATGATTGCAACGGTCGCATTTTATAAGTCAGTTCCTAACGCTTGTTCTGCTCAATAAGCTTCGACTTGACTCCAGATCATGAAACGAAAATATAGATATCGAAGGTGTCATTCCTCTCAAAGATGGAGAAAACTATCACCATAAGTTGCGATATCTATTAATGACAGATTATCGTGGTTTGAAGACGTGAGCAGGATTAAATGTGTTCACAAGGGAAGGATACTGGTGACCGTGGCCTTTTGCAGCGGGATGTGTACTAGTAGATGCGCCTTGAAGTAATTCCAAAACTATGTTCATTATTTGCTGTGCGACTCTCTGATATGGACAGTTATGGACTTTTTTTCGTACTAATTTCACGATAGGCGGTCGAAATCGTCAGTTTCCAAACTTTTCAGACTCAGATATATTGGAGACAATTTTCCTTAGCTAGGTTTGAATCTTTACTTGATCTGGATGCTCTTTAGTACTGCGTAAGTGACCATATCAGCGATACTGGTGAATCACTGGTGAATCCAGTAATACAGTCATCAAAAAAAGTGCAAATTTTGGTGGCAAATGTTTGTAACTTCTTCCGGAAGAGCGCACAGCAGAAACCGAAGGCGCATTCGGAATCAGCGCTCCAAAATGCATTCAAAGGTGAGGGTTTCATATCAAAAGGCCACATTCACCTATCCTTCCCTTGTCAGGCTAAAAGATGGACTATAGGCACGCAGTTAGAGAGGAAGCTAAGGTAAAGGACTGAAGTCGCCGAAAAGGGAGGTTCTTCGCGACATCTATGTTAACCTCCTGCATGTGTAAGAGGCGCGTACTTGTTGCAGCTGTCCATGCGGAATCTTCGCGTTCGGTAACATATTCCCTTAATCAGGAAACTACAGTCCTTTACTGAGGCATCCTTCATCGACACGTGTTGGTGACACGTCCAAAAAACTCGCGATGAATGACATAGGTGGAAACCTACCGTATTACGATTTGATAAAATGCGGTGTATGAAGAAGACTGCGCTCAAACGCTTGTTCGTTGTTTGCAATGCTTTCAACGTGGCTACAGTATCAGCCACGTCTTAGTTGTGAATCCTTCGCTAAGTCGTTTAAATAGGTTCCCGTGGTACCCTGTAGTTCCACTTTCTTTCCTTACAGAGATCGCACCTCATAAATTATGTCTTTTTTTGGTTTATAGCAACCCGATCTCTTCCGCATTCACACCCTCCATCACCGTCTCTGACTATTCTGCAACTATGTAACACTATCCTGCAGTTAGCGTTCTTTACCAATCGCTCGTGATAAGTTGTTTCCGGAACTTCTTCTTCCGAGTAATACTTTGATGGTTCAAGAAGCGTTTAAAATTCTTCTCGTCATTCGTTGGGGCGCGCCCCTCAAAGGCACCGTCCACCCTAAGACAGGACTTGAGTTTTTGGCAGCTTACTATAGTAGGGCCCCCTATCAAGCCAATGCTCAAGTCGCGGCGCAAAATATCCCTTCGGGAGCAAGAAAATCGCTTCGGAATAGCGAAGAATCATGATCCCATGTCGGCACCGCCCCCTTTAGTGTGTCCGCCCATCCGTGCGCGCTCATCCAATCACCGTTCCGGAGAATCGGCCTGCGGGTTCTCCGGAACGGAAATTGTCAGGGTTTTCACGGATTTTCGACTTCATGTTTAAAGTCAGGAACATGAAAAAGCTTTGGAACGATCAAAGCATGAAAGTCGAAAATTTGAGTGAACGGCGCCATTAAATGCGTGGTTGCACATGGGTTCTCCTGACGGGCCATATGTGCCGACATTGTCGGCAGTTCCTCACTGCAGCGCCATTCCTCGCCAGATTACCGTGAAGGTCATGCTATAAGCATGACCTGCTGTGCGAGTGTGTTTATTGCCCAGATCCACTTTAAGTTACTTTGTTCCGCCTGTTATCGTTAGCATTCCGCTGCACGAATGAGTGTATGTCGTCCGTTCAATAAAGCTCTAATGGCTTACGAGTTCCAATAACACATTAGGAGCCACCATGCTCCAGGCGACACGTTAGAATAAAGCCTACCACCCACCACAGGCCAGTTACAACTGGGTAATGGCTTCTTCAGCCTGTGATCATCGTCAACAACTTTTCTTTCTTTTGCGTTATGGCGAATTCTACTCCAGCTTTCGACTAGGCACAGCAAGATGGAAGTTAACAATAAGATGTCGAGCAAGCTCTGCCCTCGTGTCGCGTCGCAAGGCGCTCCTCGAAGCACGGAGGCCGGGGGCATCGGTTATCGCGCTATCCGGCGACGATTACGGTAACCAAGACGCTTGTTGCCGCGATCGTCTTCGGACCTCTCCTTTATTGGCTTGTTGCCAGTTATAAGGCGGCGGCGTCACTTTGGTGCCTTGTCCGTCTTCGTTTTTATTGATTGATTTTATTTTTTGTTTGGATATTGTTCCAGCAGCTATGCTCCTGTCCTTTTTTGTAAGAGCAGTTGACCCGGATGTTCTTTGGATCGGAAAACGGATTCTCTTTGTTAGCGAATTTCGACGCGCAGTATCACTTATCGGAATTGCATGTTAAATTGGATTTCTAACATCTATGGGAGCTGTAGGGGACGCGCCGTCGTCTATCGTCTACAACCTGGGCGTTGCGCGGTGGATTTGTTGCGTGAACCCTCGCGAGCCAAATTTATTCTAGATTAACTTGTAGACGCGCATCGGTAGCATGGGACGGGCCGTGCTTCATTTAGTAGCAAACTTGTTTTTAGTTTAGTATTTTTTGTCTATTTCAACTTAGTGTGTTGTCATAAGGATAAATCACTTAATCCATCTCATGTTCTTTCAGTCGCGCGTTAGGTGCGCACTGCCGTGGGATAGATTTGTCGTTCAGTATCGGCGAGCATTAGGCCTCGGCTTACATCTAGGTGCCGTGAGCCCACCGAGTCGCCACACCTCGATTTGACAACTGATTGACCTCCGAATGAGTTGTTTTGCTGAGCGATTCCGATGTTCACCAACGCCCTTCTTGTATCATGATAGAATAACCATGGAAAGGTGGTGCGGCCTAGAGACACCAACGAGAAGGTTGTCGTTTTCGTTTCGAAACCCAAACCTAAACTTCCAGTCCTACTGCACCCCTCTGCCAGTGGTCCATTTTCGCGTTGGAGCCCACAGCAAACTTTTAAAAGCACTTCTCAGGCGACCTATTTACGTCGCCGTAAAATATATTCAATGTCAGTGCTGATGTCAAAGCCAAACTCACTTCGTGTTGGGACTTTATCACTACCGATAATGAGGATTCCACTTTTCGTCGAGAGTCTTCTCCCTGTTTTGGCTTTCTGCAAAACGATGACGACGATGACGTGGTACTTAATGTGCTCTGCAACCGAAAAGGGAATAGCGGTCGCCGTTTAAAAATCCTGGGACAATAGATGCACAGCATGAGGAAGTCTCTGTCGTCATGAGTTTCCCGCTCCATGATCTAACTGATATGATCACTCGCCTTCAGGTGGCCTAACGATTAGTGGGGAGAAAGGTTAGCGCTTGGGATAGAAAGCTGACCTATATCCCTAATAGGTGGAGGACTTTAAGGCCCGTATGCACGTACATCCCCGCGGGGAGGGGAGGGGATCTGAGAGGGGAAGCGTCATATCTAACTAGTTTATATATCTTTCTTCTTCTTTCTCTGTCTTGCTTTTGAAGGTTCTCATACACTGATACCTGCGCATAACTGATGCCAGGTTACTGCCATACAAGATTAGATATTCACTATTTCGTCTGATCCCCTGGGGATCCCCAAGGGATCACCGCACATTTTCAAAGTCATTTATCTTCCTGAAAATCTACTGAAAATGCTGTAAAATTGTACTGAGGATATACTACAGCAGTGCTAAACATGTTTATGGTAGAAATGAGTGGAATCTCAAGATATTAAAATTTTCGATGAACCGCTGCTTGCGAGCCAGGGATTATCGAAAAAACAAAAATCTTCATAATCCATCTCTTCTGTCGAAAACATGCTCAGCAGTATCGCAGTATATCTTCAGTACAATTTTGCAGGGGTTTTATTGAGTTTTCAGGGAGATAAATGACTTTTGAAAATGTGAGGTGATCCCCTGGGGATCCCCAGGGGATCAGACGAAATAGTGAATATCTAATCTTGTATGGCAGTAACCTGGCATCCGTTATGCGCAGGTATCAGTGTATGAGAACCTTCAAAAATAAGACAGAGAAAGAAGAAGAAAGATACATAAACTAGCGAGATATGACGCTTCCTCTCTCAGATCCCCTCCCCTCCCCGCGGAGATGTACGTGCATACGGGCCTAAAAGGCAGTGTCCAGTCAAAAACTCGACTGTAGTAACCGCTTGACCCGTGTTAACTGCAACGCTGACTCCGATAACTCCTGTTAAAGAGCGCAAAAATGGCGAAAACGGGCGTTCCCGGAAGCCTTATAATTTGAATATTGGGCGAGTGAAACAGTTCCTGCCTAAGCTAAGACAGACCGAAGACTCTTTTCTTGATTATTGTAGGATTCCATATCGTATACCTACAGTAACCTTACAAAAAAGCCCCTACCATGGAATTTCAGTATCGTGTCCGTGAACAGCATGTCAGAAAAACGCAAAGTTTCAGCCAAAATTTCCAATAATATATAATGATTTCCCATACCGTGTCTACCGTAACCTTCACTGCGACGCAGAATTTGGCAAAACAACAGCTGCGTTTGTAACATACATCACATTCCCCAGACGCAAAATTTGAGTGCGTCACATTGAAAGAGAGGAAGGTTACTGAAAGAATTGCAAAACTCAGTACCCAACCTAATACAATAGCTATGTAATGCTCTACACAGTGAACATGTTCGCCGCAATGATATTCTGGTAGTTATCAGCGCA